TCGCGCTGTCTCGCTGTGCCGGGCTCTTCACGCTCCGCTTAATTCATGTCATCGGGCTCCAAAGATCAGCTCCTACAGGGGGGCTCATAACCTCCTTCAGGATGCGCGTCTGAGGAAAGGTCGGTAGCAGTACATCACCGCTCCTCATATGACATCCGACTGCCGGAGCGCTTGGCTCAGGGGGAAGCTCCCACACTGGCCCATGAGTGGATTAGCATTTTAGCTGAGGTGACTCTCTCAGTACAATGGCTTTTGGATCCCATGTTCCCCTCTGCAGTTTTCGCCTGGAGCTGTTTGAAATGAATTACTGCTACTGGCGGCCAGATTTCTGATGATGTGTATCCAGGACTTTAATGATTAAATGATTCACTGGAGTGAAGAACAGGTTTATTCTTATTACACAATCACTCAGAAAGTACAGGTCCTTCAATGTCAAGACACTGGCCTACGTCAGAGGACAGCTTAACGTGGGCAGTGATTTTGCAGGTGGGACATGTTAATGGATCAACATATGATCTTCCTCAAAAGTTAGAGGAAAATGATAGGTTGAGATAAATGCAAATCACAATCAAGTCAAGCTTGATAGGAATGTAGATCCAGATAGATAGATAGATAGATAGATAGATAGATTCTCAAAATCAAAAGATTTCTTTTGAGTCTTTTGTTTTTAACTCAAGTGTTATAAAAAAGTTATGACAAATCATCTTTTGGATTAAAAAAGTTTCAAATACAAACAGAAAATAATTAAATGAGATATTTCATGTATAAAGTACTTTTTAGCTTTTTCGAGAATTCCCTATAGATTATGCAATAACAAGAATGAATAAATACATACAAAATTAATATCATATTAATATCATTATATACGGTTTTGGTCACTGAGCCCACTTAAACAGGCACACAGTTTCTACTGCTTCCTCACCATCTCTGCAGAAAAACAGTTCCTGAGAACGCAATCTCCAGATGATCTTGCAAAGACCGAACTCTTCATCTTCAGCCAGAATATATCAACTGACCTCAACATCACTACACAGTTAGATTTGACAACACTAATGCCATCAGCCAGGAACCTGGAAGGAGTGTTAGACAGCGAATTCACTACCTAAAAGAGACACCCTTTTAAGAAAAGTGAGAAAAGTCAAATCTGGATTATCAAATGAAGAAATATCTGTGGATATAATGTTTAGTATTATTGACAGTTGATAGCTAAAGCAGTGTTCAGGTGAAAAAGCAGCCCTGTCTGAGTAGTGATGCAGCTGTCTGATTTCCTCTTTAATGTGCTGATTCATGAAATGATCGGCAAAAGAACAGCATTTATCAAAGGATTGAAAACCTATGAAAGGACATGGAGTGGAGTTTAATTAGATGTTTGCCTGGGAGGCAGAGGTAACGGCTGGAAGTCATCCAGCTACAACACCTTTTAAACTCAAATGTTCAGCTTTGCTTTGAATTAGATAATAAGTATATACATTAGGTATATATGTGCTTTTGACACCACATTAAAGAGCATCAAAACAACATGTATTATTTGAATTTCGTGATTAAATTTGAGTAGTCCAGACTTTGTTTTCTAGCAAAAGTAACACAACACAAAGCTTGCTGTAATTTCTGGATAGCAGGTGCTCTACAAGTAATGTTTAGTGAAGTTTTGTTCATGCATCAACAGAAAACAGCACAGACTAAACAATGATCTTGAGATTTAAAAATCATATTGGTTCATCAAAATGAAGATTGTTTAAAATTGATGAATTGATAATGTCAACCCAGGCCTAGGAGTTAGGACTGTTAACTAATTTACTTGCTAATTTAGTACACTAAATGCATAAAAAGTACTGCATTAACACAAGATTTACACACATTAACACTTAACACCATGTTATTTAAACCAGACAAAATTCCATGATATGTAACTTTCCCAGCTTCAGGACCAGTGTTTCTCAGCCATTAAAATCTGTAAAACAATTTAAAAGTGACTTTTAATCAATTGAGTGCATTCTTGCTTAATAAATGTATTAATTTCCTTAAAAAATTTGTACAATTATATAAAATGATAATGCATTATGTCAAGATTAGCACAAATTAACAAGTTATACAACTTAACTAGTACAAGTAAAGTTAAGTCTGTAATGCATAATTTTGTCTCCTGCAATAAGCTGGGGGCTTTTATCAGCAATTACTGATATATGCAAATAATGTGATTAAATAATAAGCATATTATGTAATTACATCTTAAAATAATCTGAATAACATCTGTAATTGAACAGTCCTAGAAGCCTATTTACATATAAAATGTTACCGTCAAGACCTCAGCTCAACTCCAGCGATTTAGCACATGAAAAACCAGCAAACAGAGAATGGGTGCCTCTTCAGCATCCAAAACACAAAAATTGAGAGAAATCCTTCTGCCTGGTCATGCATGACTCCCTGAGCTCCTCCACTTGAGACCTCGTCTGGAGCTAAGCGATAGCCAAACCACTCACTCTGCCCTAAAGAGTCTGGAGCAAGAGCCTCATACTTGCCAAAACTCTCCCGTTAGACCTCAAATACCACAACCACGTGCCAGACAATTACATGGTGAACCAACAAGCAGCAAGTGGCACAGGAACCTTGTATATCAGAGTCAAAAGCTCTGCCAAATGATTAGTGAGGGGACAGTGAAGTGTGACAGCAAGCACTAGAGCATTGAATCCCAGCTGTTGAAGACTTTTGAAGTCCCTCAGATGGTCAAACAGGGTCTCAGATGAGAGGGCACAGGAGGGTGATTAATTAATACACCATCACAGGTGTTGTATTTCACTAATACCTCATCAAAAATGCAAATATGTTGAGGCATCATATGTTGGATTACCTATAAATGAGGTGTTGATTACTTAGATGATGTTAAATTATTATGCAACCTTATGGAAAACTATTGGAGACAGAGAACATATCGTAGAGAATTCATAAGGAATGAAGTGACTGCAGCAAATTGATTCCGTTATTGCATGGACAAATGGACAACAAGCATTATTGATTTCAGAAATGTAAGAAGTACTCGTCAAGATAGAAGGAAATTGATCTGCTGTATTTAGACAAATGTAAACATTTTAACATATTTCAGCCCTCTTAACCTTTAAGTGAGAGTTTCAGTGACGTATCTAATTGCTATATATTTATTATATTGACATGCTAATTAACAGACCCGTTGATGTTTGTGTAGATCCCAGCTGGAGACTGCTTATTTACATTGATTTTTCCTTATGATGAATAATTATTGCACAAGAAATGAGGTAATGATTGATGGTGTATTCATTTGTACACACACACACACGCACACGCACGCACGCACACACACACACACACACACACACGCACACGCACACAAATGCTCTAAAAAATAATTTAAAATTACTAATTTAAAATAACATTCTTTGAAAATTGACTATTTCAAGCCAATTCGATTCAAGCATAATTGCAATAAAATAATGAAATTTAATTATTCTGGAATTCCTCAATAGCACATATTTGAAGAAATAGCAGAGCACCTCTGAATACTCTTCTGCACAGTCAAGGCTGCATGGTGTTCTTAATCATAGAAAAATAATAAAGCATCACATCAATACGCACATTTCCTTCCTGCAAGCTTTCCTTAAAACTATTTCCGTCTGCACTGATTGTTCTGATTGATCATGATTATAAGAGATGAATGTTTTTTGAATCACAACGGTTATTAGGTTTTGGCGAGTTATTAAATGTGAACTTAAGGACAGATGTGATTTAAGAGCCTTAGTTCCTGTAAATTAATTTTTAATTACGGCTAATTTAGATTTAAAACTAAATGCATTTAATCAACCAACATAAAAAATTAGATCGCCTAAAAACATGCAATTACAGTATTTTATTAAAGTTTAATTTTCTGATTAATCAAGTACCAGTCAAAAAATCTAATTCATTTATCACATGACAAGTGTTCATACCTATTTTTATTTGACAATTTTTTTTAAATTAATGAATATTATGTTAAAATCTACACTCACAGGAAAAAAAGTACAGGGGCGCTACCCTTTCAAAAGGCACAACTTTGTAGCTTGTTTACCTCTAAAGTGTACATATTAGTACATTAACTCTTTCCCCACCATTGATGGCATTTTCCATCATTTACGACACAAAACGTCCCTGCCATTGATGGTTTTACAGCAATCCGTGTTTTCACTGTTATACGGACCAGTAGGTGGTGCTGTTATGGATCTTCTGAAATGGTACAGCACTTCCGGATCCAAAACAAGTGAAGAAGATATGTGTAAACCAGACGGAGTTAATAGAAGTTGTTTACGCACAAATAGGATCACCAAATGACCACCAACAGCATTTAAATAAATAAATAATAATAATAAAAAAAAACTAATGTTACCAAGAAAAATGTTGGCGCCCGTGAAGAGGAAAACAAGACTTGGAGGTGTTGATGGACTTGGACTCTAATAATTCATGTTTTGATCATCATTCTGAATCTGATCCAGACGAAGTCTTTGACCCAAATCCAATTTTCTCAGCTTTTTGTATGATTCTTTTTTCTTTCAATGGAACTTAAAAACATTCAAGTGTTGATAAAAAAAGCTAGAAACCAGAGGCTCTGTTCTTTAAATATAATAAAGAGTTAATATTAGGCACTTTTTAGTACCTTTTGAAAGGACACTGCCCCAGTGCCAACTATTGTGTCGTTTTTTTCAGAGAGTGTAGAATGCAAATGATTGAAGCTTATTAAAAATAATTGTAGTTGTAATTTTAAATATTTGATTCTGGTCACTCGTGTCTTCAAGATTTTTACTGGACCATTGCTTTTTAAAACATGAAATTATGCTAAACCGAAAAATGGTCATGACACAATCCAGACGGTTCATTTTACATTATATCAAAGGCGCCTAAAAAGCATGAACGCCTGCCTCTTTTATCTGTCCGTCCCAGAACTCCCAGAAGAGACCCAGCGCCTCCCTGAGAGACAGCAGAAATGACGATGTTCTCACCATAGCCAGTGGCACGATGCCAACTAGGTCTTTCTGTGCCAGGTGGATGTGCGTCTCAGTTTCCTCGTTGCCGGCCCTGATGCCCGGGTATTCCACTGCCCAGGAAATGGACCTGCTGCCTACCGTACTTCCGACACCGTCCACCTCCAGATCCACCTGAACCACCCTCTGCCAGCCCGGCTCCACGCTAAAGTAAGAGAGAGAGAGACAGACACCAATAAGTGCTTTGAAATGGACAGTTTTCTAATAGTCCATGCCGTGATTTTGAGAGAGAGGTCACAAGGTCAAGAACCACGCTGAGAATTTTCCATTTTTTTTTATATTCAAAAACAATGCAACCGACACATGCGACCACATAGAGACAGTTGAAAATAACAGTTCGTGTGATGTAACAAGTCTCCAGAGGAAGCAGGTTTGAAGCCACGTCAAGTCACTTAGAGTTTACCGTCACGAGTCGATCGAGGAACAAGGAGACACGCAAGTGAGAGACATCAGAGCTGCTGAGTGCAATGACACAGCTCTCAGCGATTACCGCACCGCAACACATTAAAAGAAGGATAGAGAGGAGAAGCCCAACAGAGGGGAAAAGTAAGGTAGGAGGTATAAGAAAGGAAGTGATATGGAGAGACAGGGAACAGATGGAGGTAGACACATACAGAGACTACAACTGACAGGAACAGAAGAATGAACGAGAGAGAGAGAGAGAGAGAGAGAGAGAGAGCGAGAGCAAGAAAAAGAAACAAAGCCACAGAATCTTCATTTTCTGCCTGAGGTGGTGATCACCTTGCCTCAAATTGCATGCAGAGTTGAAGAACAACAACACTGTTTCTAATGTTTTTCTTGGCTTTACATCAGTGAACTTTAAAAAAAAATGGCCAGGATAGATCCAAATACCAGAAGCTTCTCTGAAATTTTAGTTTGTCAAGTTACAAGCTACTATTAATTTTGCGTTGAGTTGAGCTACTGCTCTGAAAAAGTGAAGCTTTGCTACAAGCTACAAAAAATACACTGAGGACATGTACAAGGGCAATATTCATAAGAAAACTAACAACTCTCTAATAACTATGCAATAAACTAACGGCTTCTGAAAGTTGCAATTTGTGGTCAGTTTGTGTGAACAGTAAATGTACATTTTGGGCCAACTTTTTCCACTGAAGCACTGAAGTAGGCTAATTACACATTTACTTAGTTGTTACCAAAATTCTCTCTATTTTGTTGTGGATCATTAAACTAATATGCTGCCTCAGAAGTCTGTCCTAAATCAGTTTCGGGAGGTACCTTCATGCGCAAACGTTGCCTACAAAGCGAGGCAACAGGTCAGCTGCTTAAGCTTTCGGACACAGACTATAATTCAGGCTTTTTTTTCCTTAAACAAAACAGTGAGGTTTTGAATGAATGAACAATCCCAGTTAGGCTCACAGTATCAAAACTGAAGAGGTGAATCTTTCCTAAGCAACAACAAAAATCCTTTTTACATAAAGGCCCCTATATACTCACAGTGAAGTTCTTTTTCGTTCTTTGTTTAGGGGTAAAACGAAGTTCGAAATACGTGAGCAGCAATATACTGTTAGCGAAAATCCCAACGGCGCCCACACTGCTGAAAGCATTGCTTAGATGAATATGTAAATATGTGCTGCATGCTTTCCTTTTAGTAACAAAATAAACACCACAAAAATGAGAAAACAGCATGCATATTTTATATAAAGCATAAGAAAAGTGTCTGATCATAGCAACATGGGTATGTTAGCAGGGGTGTGAAGTAACGAATTACAAATACTCACGTTACAGTAATTTAAGTATTTTTTATCAGTAATTGTACTTTTTTGAGTAGTTTAAAAATTTTGTACTTTTACTTTTACTTGAGTGTATTTTAAGTGATGTATCGGTACTTTTACTCCGCTATTTTCCTTCGTTTGTGGTCGTTACATGCTTATTTTTATGTTATTTTTATCCATCAACGTGGTTGGATAGATAGTAATAGGTCTCGTGACTTTCGTCAAATCAAATTGTGCATAGAAAACTTTAACCGCCAACTGTTTATCATGGCTGCTGGAAGCGCATTCTTCAAGCATCAATTCAGTCGCATCTTCCTCTAACTTAATATGTTAAGGTAAATTTCGGATTTCTGCTTACTAAATGATTTGTATATAGGCTATGCTTGCCTATCTACACGGCCTGAAATTTGGTGTGAGGTTGCGGGTATTGCGTACAGTGTTAAGTGTAGTACCACGCAAGTACCACGTTCGGTAAATTCCCACTCACTTATGAGACGCGCGATCTGTGCTGCCTCTCTCGCGTGCGTTCTGCAGCGGTCACTTGGATAAGTTGTTGTTGCTTGTGGAACTTGTTGACTTTTGATGAGTTTGAGCGCGTGATGAGCGCTGTGAAAAAGTGTGTTGGAAACACAAACTGAGGACCAAATCTGCCCCTTACTCTTACTCAAGTAGTTTTTTTTGACAAGTACTTTTACTCTACTCGCACTACATTTTTTGGAAGGTAATGGTACTTTTACTTGAGAATATTTTTTCAGTACTCTTTCCACCACTGTATGTTAGTATGAACTCTGCAAAGTAGCACTCCAGTAAAGTCATGTCATGTTTATTTATGTCATTTAATTCAATAATAGGAGCGCACACCTCCTATTAAGTTATCGTCACAGACCAATGGTTGTATGAAGGTGTTTTGCAGCGGGAGCGATCTTTTCTGGAAAGTTCGCTTTGGCAAACCGTTTTGAACTCTCAAAATGAAAATAAAATTAACTTCGTTTTGGCATGATTTTGTTTGAAATGATGCCACATCAGTTCGTTCTTCGATATCGTTTGAAGTACCGTATTGACCCGAATATAAGACGATGTTTTTTTCTTGGAAATACAAAGGTACATCTGGAAAAAGGGGGGTCGTCTTATAATAAGGGTCGTCTTATATTCGGGCCAATACGGTATATTGGGGCCTTAACTGAGTCAAAACATAGCACATGTACTGTACAGGAACTGAACTGATTCAATAAAATGAATGGGACTTTACAATGAGAGAGAGAGAGGATTGTCTGAATAATGATCATTTAGAGATAATCTGACTTTCTTATGAGAGAGATGACTGTCCAAATGAACTGACTTACTAGAGTGAATCAGATTTTTTTAATGCTACATACAGAAAAGGATGGTCTGAATGGACTTTCCAATGCTACTTATGAGAGAAAGGACTGTCTAAATGAACTGACTCACTAGAATAAATGCTGCATACAGGAGAGGACTGTCTAAATAAACAGATTCACTAGAATGAGTCAGACTTTCCATTGCTACCAATAAGGGACTGATCCTTTTGAACAAACCAGTTCACTACAATGAGTAAAACTGTCCAATGCTACATATGAGGGACAGAACCATCTGAATGAACCAATTCACTACAATGAGTCAGATTTTTCAATGCTACCCCAGAGTGCAGCAGATGGAAGCGGGCCGAGGGGTAAGTCTCCGGCAGGCGAGAATCTAACCGGAACTGGCCCGAGTGTATTTTGCTATCTGGGACATCAGAACTAACATATTCACCATAATGAATCAAACTTTCCAATGCTACATATGAGGGACACAACTATCTGAATGAACCAATTCACTACAATGATTCAGGCTTTCCACTGTTACATATGAAGGACAGAACCATTTGACCAAACCAATTCACTGCAATGATTCAGGCTTTCCACTGTTACATATGAAGGACAGAACCATTTGACCAAACCAATTCACTACAATGATTCAGGCTTTCCACTGTTACATATGAAGGACAGAACCATTTGACCAAACCAATTCACTGCAATGAGTCAGGCTTTCCAATGCTACATATGAGGGACAGAAACATCTGAACCAATGGATTCAATACAATAAATCATTACTACGAATCAGACTTTCCAAATGTCACATCGGAACAAACAGATTCACTTTTTAATGTAAATGTTACTAACAGGTTTGTAAAAACAAGCATGCAGCATGTCAAATAATATTTTTGACTATAATAAAGCCAATTAGTTTACGCATCTACACAAAGCCCATTTTTGACAAAACAAGAGTAGGCAGGCTGTAGACATGTTCTTTTTATACTAAGAAGAAACAGGGACACATGAATAGCAGAAGCGTCTACTCTCAGAGCGCATATTAGTTTCATGATTACACATTTACAGAAAGAGTGAAAATGAAAACAGCACCCCAAATCCAGTTTCATTTCGACAACTCTATCTCTCGAGAGCATCTTTCATACAAATTATAATCCTCTCCTCGAACAGCAAGAGAGTCAGACACTGAGTTTGAAAAGAAACATCCCAGTTGTGAATCAACAACCCAATTTTCCTGACAAAACAGAGGAGCACTGAATGGCAAATGAAAATAGAGAAAGCGCTTTTAATTTCAGGAACACTGACACTGCTCGTTTCACTGGTCCCATGGCACACACGTCCTCAAAGTTTCACAACAGCCTGTCAAAACAGATGTCGAGCTGTTCTGAGGACCGACACAATAGGAAAGTCAGAATCGGAGGCCCAAAGAAGACAACAGATCCAACAGTGATTGTCTTGCAAATCAACACTAGTTACTTTTGATTATAATGCGGTTTATAATGAGGTTTATTTCTTTTAAAGGTGCACTTTCATCTTTTGTTTGTTGTGCTGTCAATACCACACTCATCTTGACCTTATACTGACACCTAGAGGTGTGGATGCAGCCAGTGTTGTTATTATTATACTATTATAGTATTTATATGTATTTTTAATTAGATTTTATTTTTATATTTCAGTTTAGTTTAGTTTTTAGTAATATTTTTATTTAATAATTTTCTTCATGTTTATTAGATTTTTTTTTATATACCTTTTAACTTAATTTTTTATTTCAGTTTTAGTTTCAACAATTTCAACTTAAACATTTTATTTCCGTTTGTTGCCAAGGCAGCATTTCTATTTTTTCAGCTTTATTTCAATTAAAGGGATATTTTACCCCAAAATGAACCAGTTTTCAGAAAAGAACCAGACTTCTCTGTTGCCTGAGGCTACGAGTTACAGGTAGCAATGTTGTAAATAATGTTCAGTTTCTTACACAGACAGATCAGTTAGCTTCATAAGACCTCAATATATCGTCAGGAGCAACGGGTATTAATTTTGTGTTCCTTGATATGCTCAAAAATGGGCAGCAGCTGACTTGCATT